GGGGGAGGGGGGAGGAATGGAGAAGACATGCAGATTAAAGAGATGAAAAGAAAAGAGGAGAATCCAGAGAAAGGAGGAAAACACACGTGGTGGGAGGAGAGGCATGATTCAGAAGTCATTTACACTGATGTCATTGAACAATTTTTTTTGGTAATATAAACACATCTTCCTCCATTTTCCCCCTCATGGCGTTTTCAACCACATTAATTAAAAATTCATTTAGAGATAAACACATCGACACGACAATGGTCGTATAGTGCACAGGATGACGGAATAAACATAAACAACCGGGAAATGTGAAATGGTAGCCCCCCTATAGGTTTAACTCCCACTTCATCAACACTGTTAGTAAGTTAAGAGGCTGGACCTCCAAGTTTAATGTCCATCTCTGAAAGGACCGAGCCAAAGAGGAAATTGGTATAATTTGAAATTCATTTAAAGTCCATTTCCCAAGGACACAATATTGGACCACGCTGAGGTTCTAACCCCCCAAACCTGGAATCTCACAATTGCAGGTCCGGTAGCCTAACCACTAGACTACCGACGCCACAAACAACATGAGGGTGGTAAAAAGTAGGAGGTACCAGTGGCACCCTCCTCCCATCTGGTGGTTTATCTCCTCACATATGAAACTTTTTGGGTCTGTTTGTTTTATTTTTTTGTTCGTTTGTAAAAAGTGAAGTATTTTGACCCAATAACAGTCATTTAGTGCAGGGAACAAGTTAGACAGACACACAGTAACATGGGAGAGAAAGAAAAGAAACACCTAACAGAGGCCACCTCCTACTTTTTATTTTGTTTCTCTTAAATAAGAAAAAACGCACCATCAAAATGACAGCAATTCAGAGCAAAATTAAAGAAATTTCACCTTTTGCCAACAGATGGAGCAGCAAATGTAGAAACATCCTCTATCGCTTTAGTTTTGGTAAGAGTTTTACAAAGCTTGCAAAGCTAATAGGTCATATAGGTGCTGAAGATTAGAGGTGTTACTAGAGAGTTACATACAACAACAAAAAAGGAGGAGGAGAGATAAGGAGGATAGATGTTTGATAGGAAAGAAGTAGCAAACCACACCAGAGACCCATCAACCACCCGCATCCTCCATTACTGAACACAGCACAACAGACATACCACCATATAGCGGTTGAAGTAAAAAGTTGCCCCCCCCCCCCTTCTCCTATTTCAAACAGCTTGATCTAGTGAGCAACATCTGAGGTCATCATGAGGGTGACAGTGGGGTAGCAGGAACAAGACACAGCACACAGTGACTGTCATGATGTGAGAAGATGTCAGGAGTGAAAATAATTTTTGTCTATTGAATAGTCTGACGACAAAATGTGACTGAAACTAGTATTGTCGTATTTATAAAGGTGAGACATATTCCAGAGTCAACTTCTATCTCACAAAACACAGCTTTTTCCTCTTTAAAATAAAGAACTGCAGAAAGGGACACTTTTTTAACTTAACCTAACTCAACAAAAGTGATAGACCATTTTTGACAAACTATCACATATCCTTTGCACACCAATCAAGTTGTTTCCTTGAGTCATGTGACTTTGCTTGTGGTCGACAAAAGTCTGTCAAAGGCTCTTTCCCTTCCTTGTTATTGCAATGTGGATATGTTACATTTTGTTAAAAATGTGTGGAGATCTCATCAATTGAAAGGATATGAATCCGACATACATTTCATAATAAACAAATTTAATTTCAACTAAGCCTTACATCAGGTTCACTCTTATAAGGAAGTTGCTCATGATTATTCAGTGAATGGCTGAAGAAATGAAATCTTCATTTTTTCTCAAAAATGGAAAAACTGGATATGTCACGTTTTGTCGCATCATAAAACTGTTCATTTTCACTTACTTGGGTCGTAGCGAATCTTGTAGATCTTGAGCAGGGCAGCTTCGGCTGCGTCAGCTGCGGCCAGCTTCTTGCTGCGGCCCGCACCCACGAACTCCTCGCCCTCCACCTCACAGCGCATAAAGTACTGACGTAGGTGGGGGATCCCCTCCATCTTGACAAACTCAAACTCCACTGGTTTTTTCCTGGAAAAGGAAGACAGAAGCAATAGTGTACAGCTGAACAGAACCAAAACAGCCCATGACAATATTTCACAAGGTACAAATTTGGACAATAAGTTTTGACTCCCCATCCTTCCCATTGGTATCATGCTGGGATATGGTGTGGATGGCCTTGGTTCAAATCCCTTATGCCGCATTCTTGAACTTGAGTTATTTGGGAAGTTCCCAAGGCTCTCCGTCCACTTGGCACAGAGGTCCTGCCTCCAACCACCCGTAGCTTTTTAAAAAAAAGAGGGCTACAACATGACCAAAGCCTTATGTTTGTTTAGGTAAAACAAAGAGAAGTACATTGCCACAAAAAGCATCATTTTGTGAGGGGAAAAAGAAAAATGAGGGACAGAGAAATAGAAACAATGGAGAGAAAAGAAAGATGCGCCAACCAGTGGCAATCTCCAACCACTTGTACAGTCAGAAAATACCATAACTGCTTCAGTTTACAAGTACAGTCTAGCATGCATAATATAGAGAAATCAGTAGGATACAAAAATCTTTTCGTTATATACAAATTTCACAGTGTACGTGTTTTGAACACAAAAAATATACATTATATATGGTCGCTTTTAAGGACAAGTGGGCTATCCCGAAAAATGCTGTTTTGAGAAAATCAAAGGTAAAGTTTTCGCCCCTTGTTCAGTTTCATTAAAAGACAAGGGGAATTTTCTCTATAACCAAACAAATATACACACCAATGAAACCAAACTACTGCTATAGGTAGGGCAACGCTCATTTTTTGTGTAGGTCAAGCTTTCTGGAAACCCCTGAAATCCGGGTTAGCCCGCTTGTTCTTAAAGCAACCATATGAATGTAAAAAAAATTATTGGGGACCTGAAAATGAAAATCTGTTCGGTATGTGCATGTTTCACTGTGTGTGTTCACTATGTGCATGTTTCACTTTCTCTGTGTTCGCTATGTGCATGTTTCACTTTCTGTATGTTCCCTATGTGCATGTTTCACTGTGTGTGTTCACTATGTGCATGTTTCACTGTGTGTGTTCCCTATGTGCATGTTTCACTGCGTGTGTTCGCTATGTGCATGTTTCACTGTGTGTGTTCCCTATGTGCATGTTTCACTGTGTGTGTGTTCCCTATGTGCATGTTTCACTGTGTGTGTGTTCACTGTGTGCATGTTTCACTGCGTGTGTTCGCTATGTGCATGTTTCACTGCGTGTGTGTTGCCTATGTGCATGTTTCACTGTGTGTGTGTTCCCTATGAGCATGTTTCACTATGTGTGTGTTCCCTATGAGCATGTTTCACTGTGTGTGTGTGCTAAGTGCATGTTTCACTATGTGTGCATTCACTACGTGCATGTCTCACTATGTGTGTGTGCATGTCTCACTATGTGTGTGCTTGCTATGTGAATGCTAGACTGCAACAAATTAATTCCACAATCTCATGTTACCTTGGTGTGGGTTAAAATTAGCACAGCAACACAAAAAAAGGCCATATAGAGCACAGAAAAAATAAGACAAACAAACAGAATCAACAGAGGGGAAAAAAAGAGCTAGGACCTACCAGAGGCACCCTCCAACCACCCGTAGCTTTTTTTAAAAAAAGAGGGCAACAAAGACTACCACAATGTACAGACAGAAGTACTCACTGCATTTCGTTGAGCTTCAGTCGTGGATGTATGCCACACACGGTCACGCCTTCCTCAAACAGTGCTGTCACCTCCGACTTCCCTGCCCACGACGTACTCTCTGTAAAAAAAATAATAAATAAGCTCAGACTATACGAAGAAAGAACTTAGTCCTTGAGTCTTGAGAAATCAAGTTTAGAAAGGCATATCAATATGTAAGGCACCATGGTGAAATCAGACCCTTGTCAAAATCATCATAATGAAATCAAAGAAACCAGAATTTTTCTAGGTGTTCGGCGATTTTCTCAAATTTTCTTTTTTTGGGGGGTTCAACATCTTTCATGTCCAGTTAGAAATACATTTCTGTGTTGAATTTTCCCGAAAACTGTTGATTAATGGTACACAAAAAGTAAATTTTTCAGTTTCCAAGGACTCTCGAGCTATGGAAGTCACCAAACTTTGTTGGCAGCCATTTTCTTGCTAATTTTACTGCTGAAACCAGGTGACCCCCACAAGGTAAACTGACAGAAACTATTATTGAGAGAATGAGTTTGAACTTAAGTAAAAAGAAGCACATACATCAAATAACTGCTATTTAGTGAGGGGGGGAGAGGGGATGGGGAGAGGAACAACCAAGGGGAAAGAAAAGAAGCAGGACCTAAGAACTGTACCCTCCAACCACCCAAAATTGAGGGAAAAAAAAGTAAACTTGCAAGTAACACCTTCCAACCACTCATTATTATGGAAACAAAAAGCAGCAGGACCGTCCAGTGACACCCACCAACCACCTGCAGACTCCTCTAAAAAAATATTAAGCTCAAGGCTTGAAAAAGACAGAATATTGTTTAAGTTGATTATAATTTTTTTAATGAATGCAAAAGCCTCATATATGATGAAGAGCTTAAAGATTACACAAGAGACATCAGTAAGGTCAGCTCCGTGCCTGAGTTCTGTTCCAAAAGGAGCAAAACCACAGTTGATTGATTTTTTCATATTGACAAATCTGACATTAAATTATATTTGATTGAAGTTTCCTCGAATGGATCCTCATTTTTCTTTAGACACGCGGTAATCGCAAGTTTGTAGTTTTAGTAAGAGTTTTACAGAACTTGAAACACAAATAAATCAGTTAATTATCAAAGATTAGAGATGTTACAAAGCATGGAAAATAGAATGAACAGAAGGAGGAGAGATAAGGACAATAGACGCTCAATCACAAAGAAGGAACAAACCACACCAGAGCACCTGCCAACCACCAACTATTTAGCAATCACACCAACAACCATCACAGACTCAGCTGAAGGTCATGGCGCAACTCCTACCCGCCACAACCTCTCTCTCATACATACACTACCATCTTTCCTCCATTTCTCACATACTGTGACTTCTGTCCTGCTCTCTTCTAATCTGTTTTACCCGATGGTATGGTCACGGGAAAAGTAAGAGAAAACGTAGCTTTTCCCAAAAGACATAGGTTTTTTAAAAGATTTTCTTACCCGACGTCTGGGCTCCATCTGCCTCAGTATTCTCCTCCTTCATCCCCTAAAACAATTTTGTAGATGAGAAAAGAGGATAAAAAACAACTGATCAAGGTGTTAATCATTATCAGCGATTCTACACACCTTCATACATCTCTTTTTGTTTTAGTAAGTTTTACGGCACTTGCAACACAATAAGGTCCTATAAGTGCCAAAGAATAGATGTGTTACAAGAGAGTAACATAGTACACAAAAAAGAAGGAGGAGAGATTAGGACAATAGATGTTTGATAGGAAAGAAGGAGCAAACCACACCAGAGCGCCCACTAACCACCCACTTGTGCATACATCAAAGTTAATTTCATTACAATTTCTCTGCACATTGACTATAAGTTCAAATATCATTAGAGTCATACACCAATGTTTCCAACATCAGAAATAATATGTTCAGTATCATTCAGCTCACATGAAGTGGGTGTGTAAAATAGATAGATATATGTAGTTGGCAACATCACAAACACACTCCAACACATACATGCAGACACGCACACACGCGCACACACACTCACATACACACCTCATACAAAACACTCACACACACACACACACACACACACACACACACACACACACACACACACACACACAAACACACACACACAACTAACTACAAACCTTTGCACCAGTCTTGTCAACATACGCGTAGATCGTACTGTCACCAGGGGGCGCTTCCCACGTACCCGCTGCGGAAAAAGTAGAGGTCGCTGTCTTAGTAAAGGGGAGCACATTGCTACAAGAAATAACAGTCAAAAGTGCCACAAAAAAGCAAGCCTCGTGGACAGAAATAACGGGGAAGAGCCAAGACGTAGGAGCTACCCGTAGCACCCTTCAGCCACCCCTAAGTAAAAGTCAAAGGCCATACTATTATATCCGAATAACGTAGGTATCCAAAACGTGAGCGAAAAGCCAACACGACTCTCGGCGGAGAACTTCACTCCCACACTTCACAATAGTGTGCGGCCATATAATATGTATCAAGGAGCAAACTGTAGTCCTTCATCGACACAGTAACGGTCGTATTATAGTGCAGAGAAAATGTAAGACAAATAGACCGAAACAATAGGTGGAAAGGGGGGAAAAATAGGGCCTACCAGCGGCGCCCTTCAATTAAGTTCAACCACCCGCTTATTTACTTGAGTTCCCAGACTGAGAGGCGTACGACGACCTAGCAGAAAGACCAAGATACTCGATAAAAATTCTCCACTCAAGGAAATCGAACTCGTTTCTTCTCTGTGTGAAGACGAGGTGCCTAATCGCTACACAACAGACCCAGTATATATATATATATATTATATATTGGAGAAAGCCTTTACAAATATCTTGTTTGTTCCGTGAACAAGGTAAGACCATACAGGCGAAGTACGTATGTAAGTAATAATTTTTCTTATTATTATCCGTAATGATGGTGGAAACGAGAGCAGAAGATTTACGATTCCATCGACACAATTTGGATCATCTGGATGGCGCCACCTGCATCTGAGATGCAACACACACACACACACACACACACACACACACACACACACACACACACACACACACACACACACGCACAAAGAGAGAGAGGGGGAGGGGGAGAAAGAGAGAAGGAGAGAGAGAGAAGGAGAGAGAGAGAGAGAGAGAGAGAGAGGGGGGGGTGGGAGAGAGAATATAAGCCAATCCACCGCTGAGGTGCAGCCAGTGAGGAAATAACCAAGAGCAGTGAGTAAAACTTGGCTCTGCGGGTTCAGCTTACACCCCGTCCTGAATACCTAACATGACGATTAAATATAATGTATAGTTAGTATAAAAGTCAAATGAAGTTGACGTGTAAAAAGGCAGAACCCAATGAAAATAAAGAAGACAGCGAATCTGTGAAATACCATGACAATAAGACACACACACACACACACATAACAGATTTCAATAAAATGCATGACAGCAACACACGAAAATCAAGAAGCGATCGAGCGTAAAATGTAAAACAGAAGGTACGTAGACTGGCAGAAAGAATTAACTACATCTAATAAACAAGTGTCAGAAGTGATCACAACAATACAACAGGGCAAGGAAGTGAACTCGGTCTGCGCGGCGTGAGGTGGGGGAAACAGGCAGGTCTCGGGAGGGACGGCTTCACCAGACAAACATTCAATAATCCAAACACTGAAATTTCGAAATTTCAACTTCTTATTGTTGTTATTTTTTTGTTTTGTTTTGTTTTGTTTATTTGTTTCGTTTTTGTTTTGGATCTTCAACTTTTAACCAAGCCATGCAGTCCCGGTAAAAGTACAGTTGCTACCCCCCCTCGTACCCCACTCTTCCTAACGTTTCCTTCCCATTTTGAACAGATTCACCTCGTGCGCAGATCCGAGGCTACCGCGGGGGGGGGGGGGGGGGGTCACAGTGCGGTTGGTGATATGGCTTAAAGGAACAGGAAACAGTGGGCTGTAATCCTTGTGATGTGAAGCGAAGACACGGGGGGTTACACTTTACTTTTACTGAAGTTAACGCTCGGAACTGAGAAGCTCACAAACATCATTACCGTACATTGTATTGTTCCCGCTCCAGTGGCGTAGTGATTATAAGAGAGTTCAGATTGAAGAGTAAATCCAAGCAAGTGTCGGTGACACGGGGATCAGATGGGTGGTCACTGATGACAATCCTAGCTGGAAAAAAGACCCAGGGCGTTGCACAGCGGCGACAAGCAATGTCATGATTGTAAAATTGTTCTGCATTGCTGTAATTGTGTATTTATGTAGGCCTATATACTATATGTATAATGTGTGTTTATTCATAACTATGTATTTATGTACATATATATTTATATGTTTGCCATTGAAAACAAAATTGCCCTTTTGGAATCAATATTATTATTAAGATTGTAATGTAGGATTAAATCAAACTGCAGAACGTAGATAATGTGCTGCTGTATAAATGTGATTATTATTATTTATTATTATCATGTATGTACATTTCACGAGGTTCAGCCAAACCGTGTTCTGGGAGAAAGGACAAAGCTTATAACGGAGACTGCCCACTGTACACTACAGCCAATATATGCTGCTAATTTCACAAGCTATTATTGCTTCTTCTTCACCTTGACGGAGGTTTTATCAAGGGCGTATAACTAATAAGACGCAGAGACGAGTCCAAAAGGCTCCAACGGAATATTAAGATTTGCAATTCAAAGACTGACAGCTATGCATTCACGAAAGATTTCAAAGACAGCTTAGTTAAACAGGGCGAATATTATTGTAACAGTTCAAGTATCACTTTGTAAGATTGCAAGTGTTATACATGATGTGTGTAGGTCCTACACACGTGCATGATGAATTTGATTGTTCCTCACTCTTTCGAGGTCAATTTATCTGACACAGACTAGAGCATAAAACCCTATTCGGACAGACTTACCAACGATGTGAAATTGTATCAGTGAGAGCTGGCAATGTAGGACAGTGCATTGTGTGGAACTATACCAGCAGTAGAGCTAGAGTGCTCACCACTGCCACTTGTTGAACGGCAGAAAATGACATCTCAATCTACAAATATGCACGCAAACACACATACGCTACAGCTGGTACAGTCTAAGCACACAAACACACACTCTCTCTCTCTCTCTCTCTCTCTCTCTCTCTCTCTCTCTCTCTCTCTCTCCTACGTGCACGCAGTCACAAGGAGTTCAAGTGAAGAGAAAAAAAACAAAAAACAAATGATAAACAAATATATATTGATAAGATCAGACAGTGGAAGGGTGTGAGTGAGAGGCACAGACTGCACCGCTCAAAGGTCATCAAGAGGTCATCTCTCTCAGGGTCCTTCACTCCTGCACAACCGCCTCACAGCCCTTTAGCAAACGTCTCAGAGCTGCACCACACTCGGGTGCCTTTGAACCACTCGACACAAAGTACATCTGCTGACGATTGGGACACATAAAAGCTATCTTAAAATGAGGTTTCCCAAAGTTAATGAACTGACATATTTCCTTTGAAAACGATACTTCATATAGATATAATACATGTGTAAATTGTATTTCATAGCTTCTGTTTCCTCAAAAAGCTAATATTATCGGATCAGAAAGTCAAGGCTACCACAACATTACAACTAGTTTCGTTGGTACTTGAAACGAACTTTTGAGTATTGAACTTTGACTTTAGCATAACACAGACTGCCGTTTTCACCTCTGACTGGAGAGATAGATCATGCCTTTTCCTTTCCAATATTTTTTTTTTTTTCAATCACAAAATATCATTCAAACTTTCTACATGAACATTTTTTCTCTAAGAGTGGAATGCAAGCAGTTAATTTTTAAAATATTTTGACTTCTAAAATCACCAAAGAAAGACCAAGACAGAAACTATCTATGTACTTCTGCATCCTGATAATCTTTTTAAGAAAAAAAACTTTCATTATAAACTCTTTTGTGGATAGATCTATTTTATCTACCCTGATGCATGTACCATTCTCTAAAATTGTCGCTGGTTCAAAAGCACCCGATGCATGAACAGTCCAGACAGTGCAGGATCTGGGCGTCAAGGTCTGGTTATCCCAGGACGGAGCCCACAAGTCACGTGACTGCATTGATGCAATCTGCTCCAGCATCGAGACATTTCAGTCTCGGGTCTTACCGCAGCCGGCCCAGCCTCTACTGGGAGAACCTTACGGGCCACAAACACCCCACGCAGGGAGTTAAACCCAGGCCAGTGCAACAATTCTAGCCTTGCTAGCCTCCCGCCCATCCGGGCCTTTCCTCCGGGCCATGGCTCTGAATGGGGCAACCTTCAGAGCACAAAAGATTATATCATGAAAAATTAAAACACAAAACAGTTTTATGAGCCACAACAGGACAGAGTACTTCCTGCTCTACAGAGGATGAGGTAGAGCAGAGACAAAAAGAGAGAGCATTGCTGTTTCCAACATTGTAGATTCAGTGCCCAAAGAGAAGCCAAGGACAACAACCACAGACAAACACTCTGTGGGGAAATAACAAATAGCAACAAGATCTGATCATGCTGTTGCAGACCAAATTTTAGTCAGGTTAACATAATAATAACTTCACAGTAAAATATATTTTAGCAACTTTTCTTAGACGACAGGCAATCAAATTTCAAGGTAACTTTCCTGACATACTCATACTTGTAAGTAAACAATAAATACATCCATTATCTCATTTAAAGACTTTACCGCCTGATTCAGAAATATATGGTTCAGTCAAATGTGGCCCAGGCGTTAGGAGAGGTCAGTCACCTAAAAGATCCATCACAGCATAATGTGCTAAAAACCTTGTAGCAAATTTTCTTGGAACTCTAGCTATAATATATTTTAAAAAGCAGTGAGCAAAAAGTCAGGACAGTGGGACAGAGCCATGGAAAGTATAGAGGCAAACGAAGTTCAGAGCTCAACCATATCATATCAATATCAACAGAGCAAGCAAGTTAAATCAAACACAGGTATCCAGTTTCACCACATGTGATGAGCCATTGAAGCCATTTGATCTGTAAGTGGTGGAGGAAATCTTTCGGCATCATCAGGACTGCTGAAAGGAACTGCACTGCAACTCAGGAACAGAAGAAATATTTTCCAAACTTCATGTTTTAGATAACAAAAAATTAATTTCCAGGAGCATACTCAAACTTCACATAGAATAAAGTCTATGCTGTTGCAGTTAGTGTTTCACCATAGCATGAAGAAGAGCTCAGTTCAATTCCCATGTTGGGTGAATTTTTTTTTTACCGGTCTTTTGGCTTGAACATTGTCTTCCTCTCAGCACGGATTGAAGCCCGCCTCTTAAATTATCAAAATTATGAAATCCTAAAAAAAAAACACTTCCATTTCTGTTCCCTATAATCAGCATTTATGACATCATTCTCAGACTCAGTTCACAACATGGTCATGACAGAGAAAAGCTTGGAGTTCTGACGGTATCAAAATAGCCAAGACAAATTTCTTACTACTGATGTCGCAACTTGCAGATCCTCATTGACATACAGTGGTGTCCATGTAACAGCAACTTCCGCCTAACAGTAAAGTAGGCTTGTGTAATAAAATGTTTCCTTTATTATAAATAACCTCTTTTAACAGGAACCTTTTCCTCTAAAAGCAATCTTTGTTTCACATAAATTATGCGGAGAATTTTTTTTTTTAGATTCAAAAACTGTGAACACTGACATTGGCCTATAACTTCAGTGTGTGTGGATCCCTCCGCTTTGGTTCATCTCCTTAAAACAAATGCTCAGCCCAAAAATGCACTATATAGTGATTACCACTGCTTAGTTCCCTTCCTCTCACCAAGAGCCATCTTCCTTCAAGACACTGAGGGAAAAAGTCTCAGCCATTGCGTTAGTGTGGTGCTCAAACACTTCCTATAAATATGTTCTCTCTTGCCATTTGTCAATCCTCAACATGTTTGAGTTATCAATGCCCGAGAGAATCTATGGTATCTGCAAGTGAAAAAGCTACTTCAACATTATAGGCCTACTGCATAAAGATTCTGCCTTACACTGATATATATCAAATAATACTTTTTTTTTAATCCTGCAGAAAAGTTGATTATAATAAATAATAGAAAATAAATTTTCAGTGACTCAGATGTATAAATTATAACTCTTCCAACAGGTCCTAGTCGTACATGGTATAGTGCTGCAGTAAAGACTAACATCTTGATTACAACAGACAAAAAAAAATCAGAAGGATTCATTTAGTCAGTGCTAGCCTACCCTTTAACCATTACATGAAACATGAAAGACGAACACTGGTATACTGTGACACTGTCACTGACGCGTGTGTGTATGAAAAAATTACATGACATCAATTATAGAGTAAAAATAATTAGAGAGCTAATCTCATATATATATAACAAAACAACTGATAATGAACAGCGATGGTCTGAAGTGAAAGTCTCAGCCTTTGAGACACACATGATGTCATGCACACAAAAATCCATCTCCTTCAATTTTACAAAGAAAAGCACAGCTTTTCTCAAATGTAATCAAAGGCGAAATGTTTACAGACAGTTGAAAGTGATGGAACCGCTTTAGCACATAATAATACACCATTTTTCCATTGAATGATAAACATGCAGCTGAGTATCTGCTTATAAATACATACACTCTTGCCCATTGTCTACTCTTGCCTGCTTATTTTAAATAATTTTCATTATTGCAAACTCACTAGCAAAACTATATCTAGTAGGATGAGGGGAAGACAAAATAAACAGCCTTCCTGGCAGAGAGCACAGTACAGTAATAAAAACTGTAATGACTACTGTCCTTAGCCTTAAAGCACCCTACTGTAACTTTACAATTGAAGCTCTGAGGCCTCAGGTACAAGATCTTTTGTGGCCTTTAGACCAGGGGCAGAGCTAGATTTGGAATAGCATTTTCTAGGAACTCTTAGGGGACAACTTTGCTGCAAAAATTATTTCAGGTAAAAGAAGGGTTCAATTAATCTTAGTCTTAACCTTTACAGACCTAAAGTTACTCTACATAGATTCATAAATTTGATTAGAAATAGGAAGCGGCTATTCTCATCCCGGATGAGAATAAAAATACAATCGACTTCTCACCCCGGGTGAGACTTGCCAGCCTTGGCTATTCTCACCCGCTGAGAAACAAGACCTGTTTTTCCTAATTTCTGAATACTCTCTATCGGTGTGGATGATCAAATTGACAAAATAAAACAGAAAAAAATGATGTTATAGCATACATATAGAAGTAAACTAATTTGGTCGTCTACAAAGATGCTATACAGCTATTTCACTTTGGAAGCGGCTATCCTCACCCCGGATGAGAATACAATTACGATCGACCACTCACCGCGGGTGAGACTTGCCAGCATTGGCTATTCTCACCCGGTGTGAAATAAGATGTTTTTCCTAATTTCGGAAAAATACTGTATCGAAACAAAAACAAAGAAAAAAATTTAACTATAACACTAAAGTAAGCTAATTTGGTCGTCTACAAAGATGCTATATGACTATTTCCTTTTTCGAATCGAGCCGAACTACGCGGGTCGCCATTTTGTTTTGCCTTGAAGTTCTCGCAAGATCTACTACTTCTCTCTCTCTCTCTCTCGTCCTGAATACTGTCTATTGGTGTGGACGATCAAATTGACAAAAACAAAGATAAAAAATGATGTTAAAACACAAAAGTAAATTAATTTGGTCTTCTACAAAGAGGCTACCACTATTTCACTTTTCGCATCGAACCAAACTACACGGGTAGCCATTTTGTTTTGCCAGGAAGTTCTCGTGCTACTCCTCTCTATCTATCTGTCTCCGTCTCTGTCTCTCTCTTTCTTCCCCCCCCCCTCTCCCTTTCTCTCTCACTGCCCACAGACAAAATTGCATGCTTTCAACACGAGAGCGCTGGAATGTTTGTTCACAGTGAATGCTACACTGGTTGGCCTATCACGGTGAAGGCACACCGGGTGAGAATGGCCACCTCTATTCTCACCCCGGGTGAGAATAGCGCAGGGGAACCTTTTGGCTATTCTCACCCGGTGTGCGTTCACCATTATAGCCTAGGCCAACCAGTGCAGCGTTCACCCTGAACCACAGAATTCTACACTGTGATAACAGAATTGTAGCATTCTGTGCCGTGAACAAACGTTCCTCCAGCGCTCTTGTATTACTACTGTTGTTAGCCTAAAACCGTGCAATTTTGTCTTTGAGCAGTGGAGAGAGAGAGACTGAAAAAACTAAAGCTTCCATCAATGGAACATTGTAGGTTACGTGGTGATTTATTATAATAGAAACGTAAAAGTATATCAAAGGCTACTACATCACTGAAAGACCAGCGTTTACATAGGCAACAACCACACAACTCCGTGGCAACTCAGAGAAGCTCCAGAAGCTAAGAAGCAAATGGTGTGTGAGGGCAAACGTTTTTGAGAATAGGGTTAACACTATTTGGAACAATCTCCCCGAATCAGTGGTGTCAGCTCCAAACGTGGGCACATTTAAGACAGAGACGTCTGGACGAATACTGGAAAGATCTCCCAACTATTTACAACCCTACTTGCAAGTTTTACTTTTCTCTCGCCAACTCGGCTTCTCCAATAAATTGGTCTGGCAGGCCTACCTTGAGAAGAGGTATCCATACTTTGCGCTCCACCGAAAGAGGAAGATTCAGCTGACTGGGACATCTTAGTCAAAAACGAAGAGAACAATAATTAACTATTTAGATCTTGATCTATAAAGATAACGGACCGGTCGGCTTTGTTTTAAAATAAGTCGCCTTACTGAAGACAAGATTGTTTATCTCTTTACGATTACTTTCTCCTCATTTAATGGATAAAAAACTGTAAACTATAGAAAACAAAAGAAACCATATAAAATACGGCCCAAACATTTTCAACAACTGTAACTCAAGAATAAAATTCTTATATCACCCTCTTTAATAATTATTATTTCAAAAATGTTTAATGTTGTTTGAAGGTAAATTGGTAGACTCAAACAATGACCCAAAACCACAGAATTCTATTCTGTGCCCAAAACGTAATCCATGTTTTAGTGTTTACCATACAAATCAGTACAAATTTCGATAACAGTCGGTAAGCTTTTGGTGTCCTCTGCTCCAGCTCCGCAGGCGAAAAGTTGGTTAGGTAACTCGTCTTCGTGTGTCTATAAAAGTTATTTTGTTTATTAGTTTAATAGCATATTACCGTATTTTCAGGCGTCTAATCAAATGCGTGCGCCCTGTTTGTGTACTGTTTTCTGCTTTTTAAAAATTGGACTGATTGAACTTCGAAGAGAATACCATGATGAATTCCTACAGTAGGCTTCAGGGTCGAGACATAGATCTAGATCTAGATCTAGATCTAGATCTAATATAAAGGCCGGCACTATTTCTCCGAAAGTTCGGGAAAATAAAGCTGGGCACTATTTCTCCGAACGTTCGGGAAAATAAAGCTAGGCACTATTTCTCCGAACGTTCGGGAAAATAAAGCTGGGCACTATTTCTCCGAACACTCTGAAATCACATCCTTTCTCGCAAATTTCGGATATTATATAGATTCTAGATCTATAATTATAGTATAAGCCTACCAAAGATTGTTCGTACACAATATGGTTCAAGCGGTCCAATAAATGTCCGCAGTAAATATTTATATAAAGAAATGCTACAATTTCAAACAGTTTTTCGCTACAGATATGGCGTGTTGCCTATGAAGGGTGCTGCTCTTAAACGTAATGTGTTGTGTTCACTCGTGTGCTGTCTAGATCTAGATCTAGATCTACGGAGGGTTATTGATAACGACACATAGAACTGGCATCTGCGTTTGTCACTGCTGCGACCAATGTACTGACACTGGCAAAGCCCCTTAATGTGTGTGATTCCATAATTTACATGTAATATCCTGTCCTTTTTTTTTTTAAATTACGCACATTTAGGGTTAAAACAGCCCATCTTCTTCGGACAGGTGGACACACGCCCTTATTTGTTAATGTTTGTTGTTGTTTATGGGCTGTTCTAATTTTGATTTCTTTCTGTTGTGAAACCTTTCTTTTTCACGTTTTTACACTCATCTAAAAACTCTAGACTAACTCTTGAAAATTGAAACAGATATATAGACCCAAAAATTTGCTCCTGTGTGTGTGTGCAGAGCTGGTAGTAACGGAGTACAAGTACTCCGGTACTTGTACTTACGTTACAATTTTCGGTACTTTTACTGTACTCCGGTACATTTTTGAAACCAGTACTTTTACTGTACTCCGATACTTTTTATAAAAGTACTTTTGAGTACTTTTTAAGTACATTTTGAGTACTTTGGTAGCTTAATGAAAGGGTAAGTGCAGGCATTTCTGATCATAATTTACGGAGCAAAATCCCGATCAACTGCCAAGAGTTAAAAGTTGAGATCAAAGAACGGCCCGTCGCCTCAAAGATCAGCCACTATCGTGAGTGTGATCACAAGCGTTTGTAAAACTCCTTGAAACGGTACAGTGTTTGCCCCAGACGGGATCACACCAAGGTGTGAACTGACCGATGCGTTTCTTTTCCCCAAACATCGCACTCGCATCTGACCTCACCACCTAAACTTACATCACTCCCTGGGTGGGTAGGGCCTACAAGTTCGCTCCAGGCGGGATCACATCAAACTGTGAACTCTTCCCTGACCATTGAAAGCAGTTTTTCCCGAATTTGCGAGACAACCTGAATTTTAATTAGTGTGGTCACATCGTAATGGTGCGTAATGACAAAGGAGGTTGGGGGGGGGGGGGGTAGGGAACTCAAACAGAGATGGAAAGCTAAAATTGTTGGACAGGTAAAGGGGAGGGGCAACTGGATAAACGTAGATAAAGATCTCAAGACTCACGATAGGCTAATGAGTGTGTATATATAATATTATTTATGGCATGCCTCATGCCACTGTGATTGGTAATCAAGGTTGACCACTCTTTGCTTGCCATATGTCATGAATCCACCCAGGGGTCACGTCAGTTCATGGGTCACTGTAGATTCTTCCTTGGCTTCGTTGGCTAAGATCCCATATTTTCCTTGCTTCCGAGCACTGGGATCTTAGGCGGAGACTACTGCAGTAGAGAATCTTTGGTTACACTACACTTACTAGACTCTAGGAAACTATTGTATTTTGGTTTGCCGTTGGCGCCGTGGACTACACAGTGTGACAAAAATCTGTCAGACCACTATAATCAATTGAAACTGAAACTGTGTCCTCAATGTGTATCTAACAATTTTTAGGCTGTCTAAATTTCTTTTAAACTTTTTTTGGGTGGTTTTTGCTTAAGGCTACATTGATTCCTTGAAGAATTCAATGCACTTTTCCATTTCTATGCGGGCCATTTTCATCAATTTTATGTTTTCTTAAGAGCAACTTTGTATCTACATTTTTTAATTTGGATACTCTTTCTGTAGAACTTTCCGACCTCTAGGACTGACTTACATTTGATCACATTGTCTTGCTCAAACAAGTTCTATTCATAATATCACTTACCCACTAGTTGCGTCTGTTCGTTTGGGTTGTTTTTTGTTCAACTTCACGGACCATTTCCACCGTTCAGTGCGTACATTGTATATTCAAATGCTTTGTATACTGCTTACATTTTTAGTAATAAATAGCCTAATTTGTCAAATATACTGGATAAGTTATAAAATATGTTTTGCATAAGCGCTGAAGTGTTTTAGCATATTAGCAGAAAATACTCAAAATGTACTCATAAGTACTTTTTTAAAAAGTACTTGTACTCAAGTACATTTTATAGGAAAGTACTTTTACTGTACTTAAGTACATTTTTTAGATTGTACTTAAATTGTAGAAACAATCGAGACTTACCTGTAAGTTGATGATTGTTTCTGATTTTGACGATCTGTCGTCAGGAACGGAGTGGTAATATGCCCTCCCTTAATCCCTCCCGATGTGTATGACATACAGTGCTCAGGTAATTGGTGTTGCTATGATGATATTATATTATATTGTGCATGCCAAAGTTGTACTACATGTATAACACTATGGGCATGCTCACATCAACTGTGACTGGCTGAAGAGTGACTGGATCGGTTAGCGCGCATCCCATATTACCACTCCGTTCCTGACGACAGATCGTCAAAATCAGAAACAATCATCAACTTACAGGTAAGTCTCGATTGTTTCTACAATTTTAACTCAACTGCCGGTCAGGCCCTCCGTGGTTATATGGGATTTCAGAGCTCAACTGTGACTGCTTCACTTAACTCTCACTGAATATCATTCAGGCGTAAGACTTCATACACAAAGCAATTAGAAGATAATACATGTATGTTCAAATGAATCAACAAAGCTGTGGATTTTGATCACAATATATAATATGTTTATAAAATCAGATATAGGAATATGCACAGAAAAACCATAAAGGCACAGAATGTGGGATTAACAGCTCATAATAGTTACATACGAAGGGTTACATGGAGAGCAAATCATTATGGACATTTGGAGGTAAAATAAGTCTGGATCAGTTTCTCTCCAAAATTTTCTGCAACTTGTTTTTTGTAGAATCGAGTAAAAGTGGTCTCTTTTGACCATCCTGCAGCAGCCAAGATGGCATTTATGGAGATTCCAGACTGAAGAGCACAAGACGTACTGGCACTTCTGGTGCTGTGAGCTGTGAATATTGAGACGTCAATACCAGCCATATTAAGGACTGTTTTTAACCATCTACTCACAGTGTCTCTGCTGACCGGTTTGAACGGTTTTTGGAAACTGAGTAGCAGTTTTGAGGCTCCGTTACCTTCCCTATGGGCCCTAGTCATGTTTATGTACACCTTCAGCATGTTTACAATGCACATGCTTTTGTTTTCTTGGAAAGCCATGAATACAATTGGGTCAAGGTGGTGCCCTTTCCTGGATTGCTTAAGGAGCGTCTTAATTATGAATGTACATTTTGTTTCTGTTAATTTCATGAAATTAGTGTCCAAAGAATGAATGGTTTGGCATCTTTGCCCAGATAACAAAGCTAGAAACATTGTTAGTTTCAAAGTTAGTTCCTTTAAAGTCAAATCCTCATGGGGAAACCAAGACTCTAAGAAGTCCAGAACATGCAGCGGGTCCCACGTTGTCAGTTTACTTCTCAATGGTACCGCCGATTGGCTTTCAAATATGCCTTTGATCAGTCTTTTTACACAGTCAAGATTTCCAAATGGGCCATTTTCTACTTTTAAGTAGCATGACAAGGCTGACCTTGCGGTGCACACAGCGGAGAGCGAAGCTCCTGAGCTAAAAAGTTCTCCCAAAAAATTAACTGCCGCAATCACAGGCGGTGAAATGGGATCCACTTTGGTCCTAAGAGCGAACCTCTTCCACTTTGTAATATATGTGTTATAGGCTCTCCTAGTATCAGGTCGCCATGAGGCCATGATGAGCTTGGTAGCTTCTTCTGAAAAGCCTTGTTTTGCGTACTGTTGCCTGACACCTTGCATATAAGCAGTCTGAGCCTTTTCCCCAGTGGATGTAGAACATCCGGGTGGCTTGGTAGGGCTAGAAGCCTTTTTCGTGCTGACAGTAGAACTGGTTGACGCACTAGGAGTTTCATGAGGAGAGGGAAAAATGGTTGAGTTGGCCAGAATGGTGCAATCACTACACCTGTTGCTACGTCTGTCTTGATTTTTTGAAGGACCCTAGGAAGGAGAGAGAAGGGTGGAAAAGCCAGAAAATTATGTGATTTCCAGTTCAATGTGAATGCATCAGTTGCGAAAGCCCCTGGGTCTGGCTTTAAAGATACATACCTTTCACACTGGTGGTTCAGCCTGGATGCAAATAAGTCTACATCAGGCGTACACTTTAATATTTTCAATGCGAAATCCAAAAGTTCTGAGTCTATTTGCCATTCAGTGTCAACACTGACATGTCTACTTTCATAGTCTGCCTGTATATTTTCGGAGCCAGGGATTCTCACAACTGACAGCCATATATTCCTTTTGATACACCAATTCCATACGTTTTTGGCCAACTCATCGAGTTTAGGGGATTTTACTGATCCCATTTTGTTGAGGCAAATCATTGCTGCTGTCTTGTCCACAAATAGTCGGACATGAACATCCGTCAGTCCTTTCGCAAACGATTTCAAGCCCAGAAAGGCTGCGAGCATTTCTAGCTCATTAATATGCATATTACATGCTTCTTCGTGTGACCAGGCTCCGCCTGTTTTTTGAGTGCCACAGACAGCTCCCCAAGCTTTTGTGCTGGCATCTGTGGTGACCACCAACTGAGGATCTGGTCTAGTTATTGGACTCACAGACGAGCCAATGTTTCTTTTCCACCACTCTATGTCTTCGAGAGCCTGTGGCGATAGGTGCATTGATTTTTCCCAATTATATTTGCATGTTTTTAAAGCTTTCATCTTGTCTTTTTCAATATTTCTATAATGAAGAGGCCCATAGGGCACGGCTGGAAAACCAGCGACCAGCAGACCTATGAGTCTTGCTACGTCTCGTATTTTGTTAAACCGACAGCTGGAAATTTCCAGGCAGGCCTCCAAAATAGCTTCTTTCCTTACCTCAGTAAGAGTCAATATCATTTCCTTCGATTTAATGATAAACCCAAGGTAGGTTATTTCTTGCGTAGGAGTGAGAACAGATTTTGTGGGGTGAACGACAAACCCTAGTTTATCAAAAACTGATATCGTGTCACCTATGTTTTTCAAACAGTCTACCTTTTCATCTGCTAGAAGCAGTGAGTCATCAAGATAGCCTGTGCTAAGGTGCCCTAAGCTACGCAAGTGCGCATATATTGGCTTTGTCAGCTTTGTAAAGTTTCTAGGACACTGAGCCAGGCCATTGCTGAAACAAGTGTACTCGTAGAGTTGCCCTTTCCAGAGGAATTTTAAGTATTTTCTATCGTCTGTGGTGATGGGAACGCTATAATATGCAGAAACAAGGTCTATGCTCGCCATCCAGCAGTTTTTGGAGACTAGATTCAAAGTCGTAGCTAAAGTTTCCATTTTAAATTTCTCATATTGAATATTTACATTGAACTCTTTCAAGTTTAGGATCATTCTATATGAGCCATCACTCTTCTTTCTGGTAAATATGGAGGAGATAAACTCTCCTGGTTCGTGTCGTGATTCCACAATAACCCCTTTATTCAGTAGATCACTGATTTCATTGTCGATTACATTTTTCTCTGTCTCACTCATCATAAAACTAGAATCTGCTTTTCTCTTAGCAGAAAGCGGCTCTTCGCAAAATTCTATGGTTGTTCCAGACACCATATCTAAAATTGCTTTATCTGATGTTAAATGTTTCCAAAATTCTTTAAAAAGGGAAATTTGCCCTGCCTTGAAATTTGTAGCTTTTGTTTCCAATAATCTTTTTATTACCTCAATGTCATTCATACTTACCATATTTCCGTCAATAGTCGTAGTTATTTCCTTTTGTTCGCCACTGCCGCGTGGCTCGCTGAGGGTCTGTGGGCGTAGCCCCGCCCCCTCTGGCCGGACGGACGCCCGGCCTGATAGGCTAAAAAATGCCTCTTTCTGTCCCGCTGAGCGGGTTTGCCGTACGCTGAGGTGTAAGCGTTAGCGTGAGTGGCACGTGGGGAGGAAAATTGCACCATTTTTCTTTGTTCGTTCGCATCATGAATAGTTTTCTTTATGTCGTCCCCGTAGAGGAATTTAGTACCGTCAATTGGTACGTCACAGATACCCTTCATGTTCATGGGTAAGGCCCACCTTTGTGCTTCCTTCCTGCGGCTGGTGATTTTCTGCTGGGAGTGTCCCAGGATGGAGATAACGTCCAATAACTTTTGGACAATGGGCCTTTTGCTTTCACCATCCTTGACCAAAAGGTCAGCACACTGTGCCACCGCAGTAGTCGCTTTCGCAATCGTTTTCTGGATCGAGGTGTACTTGGCATCGTTCTTTTTCCCCCCGCTTTGTAACAGTTTCCAAATCTCCGGATTTGTTTGTCGTACCAGGAGCGCTTCACAATTGCCTGGCCTTTTGTATTTACTTACCTTTTCTTTCATCTTATCATCTTTCATTGTTGTGCAGAATCTTTTCTCCACAAACTTTGCGAGGTTTTCAGACAGAGGGTCCGTTATCTCTTCGTCTACCTCGTATTCGTTGTTCGCCTCCGCGAACCAATCCCCTGCCGCACCTAACGCCCCTTCGTCTCGTTCCCCTCGATAGTCATTGTCAGGGGGGCAGAACAGATCGTCTATTATTTCGCCATCTGATAACACGTTTCCGGTCTCTTCAAGGTTAGAATGAGACGCTTGGGTGGTCTCGCTCACTCTCCTTGTCCGTTTCTCGCTGCTTTTGTAATAGCGTTTCTTTTTGTGCTTTAGAATGGGGGACTCACACGAAGATGAAGAAACTGACCGTTTCCTTGTTCTTTTCTTTTTTGCACTCATTGACCTCACCAACGCTGCCACTGCCTCCGTATTCCTTTGTAGTACATCTTGAATAATATCAGTATCTGACTGAGCAGAGTAGGGAAAAGTGATACGTTTTTGTTCACTGCCTCGGCTCGTGGAAGGTTCAGGAACACTCTCCGACCCCGCAAGAATCTCATCCTCATCTAAATAGGGATCATGTACAGACAAAATGTCTTCAGTGTCCGCCATGATGTGTCCTTCGTTAAAAAAATAAAATAAAACGATTAACTATATAAAACACAATATTGAACCCTGTCAAGCCACTAGGGACAGGGGAACACACTAGGGACAGGGGAACACACACACACACACACACACAAAATAATCCACAGCGAAGAGCACAAACTAGCCGCTACCGGTGTCTCCTTCTCGGAGAACAGGTAGACGTGCCGACGGGTCAAAGGTTGGGCGCAAGTGACTGGATCGGTTAGCGCGCATCCCATATATGCCGAGGAGCCCAGAGGGCAAGAAATGTGCCTATGAAGGCGATAGTATTGCTCAGAGAGCCAATTGAAGGGGATCCGAGACCGTGGGTGGGGGCGATGTGCTGTGGTAATAATGTCAGCGAGTAACAATTTTTATTATAGCAGTATTATAATGCAAGTAATTTATGTAAGAAAAAATAATAAAAGTTTTATACATTACCGAATCCGCTTCGGAAACAAGGGACAGGGGAACACACACACACACAAAATAATCCACAGCGAAGAGCACAAACTAGCCGCTACCGGTGTCTCCTTCTCGGAGAACAGGTAGACGTGCCGACGGGTCAAAGGTTGGGCGCAAGTGACTGGATCGGTTAGCGCGCATCCCATATAACCACGGAGGGCCTGACCGGCAGTTGAGTTAAAATTTGTACTTAAGTACTTTTTAAAAAGTACTTTAACAGCTCTGAGTGTGTGTGTGTGTATGTATGTGAGTGTGTCTGTGTGTGGTAGTAAGTGGAGAGTGAGGAGTGTGTGTGTGTGTGTGTGTGTGTGTGTGTGTGTGTGTTTTCGGGCTTTATTTCAGCCTGTATTCAGTAACAGTTCAAAGTATACAAAAATAGAAACACAGGATCCATTCACTCCAGGGCTCATGAGTCGTTCGTCTCTTTCAGTTTCCCTCATTCATTCAATTCCCGTGTTCTCTCCCGCGGCTCATCCCTGTCTGCATGACTTTCTTCATACCCCACCCCCTCCCTCCAGGCACACACAAAGAAAATATCATTCTTTCCTTTGCACCCTGCGAACCATGGACAATAATATAGGCAAAACACTGCCTGAGCTGCATTCCTTTCTTTCGTGAGCTGTGGACCAGGCCAGGGGGTCGGTGTCGTCGTCTTGTCTTGTAGTTGCTGTCGCCTGTGGATACACTCGCACATTCTTCCTTTCACCCGCTCTTTCACTCACACTGTCTCTCCGTCCACAGCTCAGCTCGTCATACGTTCAAAAGTTGCCCACTGGTCATGTTTAGTTAGTGTGTGTACATGTGCATGATGGTGGTGGGTGTGTGGTGGGTGTTACTGAAAGTTGTCTGTAGGCGGGCTTGCCATGCGGTGTTCCTTCCCAGACCAGAGGCCAGAGGCAGAATGAAAGTTGGCGCCGAACTCTCGCAATAAATAGACAAAAAATCACGAGACCGGAAGCCGGAAACCGTTCGGAGAAATAAAGATCGGCACTATTTCTCCGAACGTTCAGAGAAATAGTCACTTCGTAATATAAATTCTAGAGGCAAAAGTAGATCTAGTCTAGCAATACTAGCATGATCCGCTGGTCTGGTATTCTTCAATCTTACCTTAAAATCTGATCAGATACACAGACACCACACACACATATATATATATATACACACTCACCACACTCACACATACACACACACACACCACACACACACACCAACACACACACACACCACACACACACACAGACGTAAACACACATTGATATACACTCACACAAGCGCTCACCGCACACGCTTGTGGCCTTATACACACACACATACACACCACACACACACATACTCACACACCATACACGCAGACATACACACACATACTCTCAGACACGCACACACACACAGACACACACACACAGACACACACACCAAACTAACAGACAAACAAACAAAGACAGTCACAGCTCTTTTCTTCTTGTTGTTGCCCCTAGTGGTTTTTGTTGCTGTTGAATGCTGCTGATGTCTTGTTACATTATTTGTTGCCTCGACTCAACTGTACAGAAAGTCTTTGTGGATTTTTGCTACACTCTTTATTAGGTCCTCCTTCTCGACTGTTTCAATTTCAGATGATTTTTTCCTAAAGGCAACAAAATTTTCATCTTTAAATTTAGCAAAAGCATTGTCAAATTTGTCGTAAGATATGAATGCCTGCTCTAGAAATCCTTCCATCTTGTCAGGCGGAGACTAGGCCTAGCCTAGATTACTAGGACCATGCTGGGAGAAGCGGAAATGGTAGATGATGTTAGATCAAGGGTGGCGTTAATTGCGACAGAGTGACTCTGTGAGGAAATAAAAAGAATTTAAAAAGAAAATCAAACACAGGCACACACACGCACTCACACACCCACACAATGTACAAATACACAATCACACACAGACATACACTCACACACACACAGACACACAGACATACACAACTGTTGTGATGATTGTGATTTGATTTATAAAGTATCTGTTGTCTTTGTCTTGGTAGATGCTGTGATATCAAGATGAAGAAGGCCTACAGAACCCAGCTTTTGGACAAAGTGCACCTGTACTCGGTACGCACGTTGATGGGAATCACTGTTCTGGGTATTGCTACATTGGGCATGCAGGTCTACAGCTACTACTCAGGTATGTTCATGTCACTTCTGTACTATGTTTTAGCTGTGACCTCTCTCTTTAAATTTGCTGACACAAAGAAAACAGGCTACAGTCAACTGGAATTTTGAGTTTTGTGCTTCTCACTTCAACTCAAATTTTATTTGTGTTTTTTACTTACCTATTAAAAAAAATTTTTGGGGGATGGGGGCAGAAAGTGGAGACGAAAGCAGACAACAGCACATCGCAAGAGAGAAGGAAAAGAGGTGAAAGGAGACTATTTTTTAGAGAAAAAATTTTTACGTCACTATCTAAAGTCGAACTCGGGATCTTTGAATAAGAGGCCAACACCTTACCCTCTAGGCCACGAGAGTCCCCTTAACTATTTATTGGATGTATGTTTCATAATTTTCAATCAATACAACACTGCTTCAGTTTATAGACTGTGCAATACGAGTTGCAATTCACAGGTCATGGTTCCACAAAGTGGAATCTTGAGTGACAGTTTATAGCAACTTGCAGTATAGGTATTGTGTTAAAATTTCATGTTTTATTTCTAAACAATCAGTCTCTGTGAGGGTATAGTATAATGTCTTGTTGGCTTTACATGTTTTATAAATTTTTTTGCAGTACGGTCAATCTGGAAAATATATCATTCGCCCTCTGGTTTGGACAGTCTCACACCGCTCTGTGCAGTATTTATGCCTCTTTGAAGTACAGTGGTCTCTTCCTAAGAACCTAGTCTTTCTAAAGGCCTACCTATTTGTTCATGCAAAGGAATATATATTTTTCTATAATTTATGTACCTCAGAACCCGTTTTTAAGTAAAAGATCAATGTAAGAACCCAGTTTGAGCTATGGGCAATAAACTTTTGTAAGCGTCCTGATTTACCTCTCTTTGCTATAACTTATAACTGATAATAATGAATGGTCATTTTTAGCAATTGAGAAGGAAACCGTTGGAAAAGTTCGTTACGGAGCTCTCGTGGCCTAGAGGTTAAGGTGTTGGCCTCTCATTCAAAAGGTCCCGGGTTTGAATCCGGGTAGCGACCGAAAAATTTTCTTCTCTAAATTTGTCTTCTTTCACCTCATTTCCTGCTCTCTAGCAGTGTTCTGTCGTCTGCTTTCGTCTCCTCTTTCTGCCCCCACCCCCTCACCTCCTTTGCCCCTTCCTCTGGGCTCCTGATTCTTTCTGCAGCCTTTCTACTGCTACTCCTTCGCTTCTTCTTACTGCTGTCTTTCAGCCACACCCCTGATCTTCTGGTAGGAAAGATCTACACCTAGCCTTTTCGGACAAGAGCGAAAAATCTCGGAGGGCCCGTGTGCAAGTTGTGCACGTTAAAGATCCCTTGGTGGTCTAAAATCGATAAGAGTAGGCTTCGGCCGCCACCCAGGCAAAATTCAAAATTTCCTACCAACTGAAAATATTAGGTGTGTCCCGCGCGCTCATATGACCTTTTGCAGTTGCGAGCGCCGTAAAACACTTTACAAAAACAACAACAAAGTTCGTTAGGGAGTAGCAGTAAATGTAGCATGGACTTGAAGATGACTAAAAGTAAAACTTCCCATTGCGTACCCATTTACATTTTACACAGATCGATTTTAGGTACAGTCCATGCCGGCTTTCAGCACGGTCATCAGGAGAAAGCATAAGTGTGCTTAATGTAGAAGCGTGCTTGAGTGCGAAGTAGACATTGTTCATAATCCAGAGATTTTTAAGTTGAAAATTTCCTGAGTTATTACCCTTTGTTCATAAGTAGTGATCGCACAAAAGTGTGTGCTGTCATTTTTACCCGCCATGGTAGTTTTTGTTTGATTATTTCGTTTTGTGGTCAGATCAAAGTAGTTGAGTAGTTGAGAAAGGAAAACTTAATTTAGTTAGACGACCGGTCACTGTACAGCACACTAGGCCTAGGTTTACACACTGCCTGCAGTGCCACATTCATCCCACCTCGCGCGTGATACGCAATCAGGATTATCAGAGAGCGAGGGGCAAAGGTGAAATTTTTATCGCAGCCAGCCTCCCTTTCTCGTCACCCCGACTCTCTTTGTATTTTTTTTTCGTGTGCGTGTAGCTTTACCCTTGGCTATATCCAATGTCCATGCGCGCGGCTGTGTGCTGCTCTCTGCCTTCCTCTCCGCGCGTGTGTGTGTCCATCAACTGCGTTCTTTGTGTTTCACTTAATACACTCACTGCTGCGGTGTAGACTGTTCGAACTTCGATGAGTCATCATGAAAGTATTGACTGTCTTGTAAATGAAACGTGCCGGAAGCCAAAGTTACCGTACTTAAAGGCGTGTAATATAGAAAGAATTCGGTAAGAGCCGTTTAGCGTGCTTGAGTCCGAACGTGCTTTATGCCTAAAGCCGGCACGGACTGTACCTGCTTGAGCTTAGCGGTTTTCAATTCGTTCGATCT